TTTGAACTTTTCTCAGTGACTTGGCAATGCTAACAACACAGGTCCTCGGTGGTCTCCTCACTCGCTCACCAGTGTGCTTGAGTCCGCTTTCGTTGCCTCTGTCTGTCCTTTAGCTGTGTGTCTTCATTCCGCTTTCACCCATCTTACTGAGCTGGTGAGGTTACTGCTGTCTTCACTGGCAGATTTCTTGAGTAGTGTCATTCCAGGTCTTAAGAAGGAAACAGGGGCAGAGTCTCTGCACTCATTTCTCCAAGACAGAAGTTGAGCAGTCCTATCTACTGATCCACTAGATCATACCTCAGAACTCTGGTTTTGCGTATTCCAAATTGGGAAGTGTTCTGTGTAGGAAGGGGGAAGGTGAGAATCTGAGATGCACACTGATCCGTCTCTTCAGAGACAGTGGGAATGATCAGGTGACCTCGGTGGGAAGGACAGGTACCTGTAGTCTGAAGGAGCTACTTGGATGTCTTAATAGAGCCAGCCTTCTAAAGTCCTGTTTTCTGCAAGTGGTAAAACCATGGATCCAACTGTTGGCTTAATCGTTGATACATTTTAATGTCATAGCAGACATTACATTTTGAGAATGTCTTTGTAGTAATGCCTCTGTGGCAGTTGCCAAAAGAGGGTAAATTGGGCAGGTTCTAAGTGAAGAACGTAAGACATTTTTTTTTTCTTTCAAATTTCTGTTCAAGAATTCCCAGTTATTAGATGGGTTAATGACAGTCACCTTAAACAACAGACTAATGACTGGGGTGGGAGGTGCGGGGAGGAATGTGGACCACTTTTTTGTTTTGTTTTGTTTTACATTCTCTTAATGTTTCCATTCGACTTCCTTAAATGACATAAAGATGGACTAAGAGTAGCAAGAGGTTTTCTTTCCTGCTCTGATAGGATTTTCTCAACAGTGCTTGGAAAGTGTTTACACTGTAGTAAATGGCATTGATGTCAAAGCTTTTATTGTTTCATAGAATTCTCTTTGTCCCTGGGGGCACTGACCTTGATAGTAAAAAGAGAAAAGCCGCTGTGTTTGTTGATGTTCCACACTGAGTCCACAGCAGCCTGAGGCAGTACATGCCAGAGTCCTGGAACTGCTGATCTGCGCCTTGTTGCTTACCTCTACTTCCTATACTGGTGTGTAAGCATCATCCACGCCCTCCTGCCTTCCAGGCTCATAGTACTCCAACCCTCAATAACATTTCTTCCCCTCATAGAATTTCTTTCTAGCCATTGCTTCTCCTTCAGCCGTTCTGTAGTATGCTGGTTGGTTCCAAACCCGAGCCTTTCCTTAGTCCACCCCAGTCTCCGCCCCAGTCTCCTCCCCAGTCTCCGCCCCAGTCTCCGCCCCAGTCTCCTCCCCAGTCTCCGCCCCAGTCTCCTCCCCAGTCTCCTCCCCAGTCTCCGCCCCAGTCTCCTCCCCAGTCTCCTCCCCAGTCTCCGCCCCAGTCTCCGCCCCAGTCTCCGCCCCAGTCTCCGCCCCAGTCTCCTCCCCGTCATTCTCCCCATAGCTCAGCTGCCTATTCCTCTATGCCTTTCCTGCTTACCTCCCCATCTTCACAGCACACAGACTCAGCCAAACACTTCAAACTGTGTTCCTTGTCTCCTTCTAGTCTCTGGAATTGCCTGTTGCATCACTTTTCCTGATGCATTAGGGGAGACCCTCCTGAACAAGCTGGGTCTTGAGGTTGCCATTCTTTGTTAGGGCCATTGCCTTTTCTAGAAAACTCAACCTCAAGAGGCTCAGGTGACAGGAACCAACATTTTCTCTAGAAACACAGTGTGATAGTTGTCCTAATCTTTTCATCTAAAAAAAATCCCTCTGAAGTCACAGGCTTGTGTGTGTGTGTGTGTGTGTGTGTGTGTGTGTGTGTAGCTCAGAAAAAGTCATTTAAATGGATGCCTAGAAATGTGTGTGGTTGCACTTGGATGTTCTTTTTTTGAGGCCTTTCACCAGATCTAAAGTTTGAAGTGTAGTGCTTTTTCTTAAGGTTTTACGACGCTGACATTAATCCAGCATTCTGGATTGTTGGTGATTAAGATTTAACTCTGGCATTTCATCAGTGTAGCCCATTTGGGCTCTAATGAATAGGTTTGGGGAGTAGATTGTCTGATCATCCCCCCCTGCCCCCTTACATTTTAGTGGGAGCCTGTGCTGCCATGGAAACAGTATGCAGCATTGGAAGAGGGCATCTACAGTCCTAGACTACAGATGCTATCGTCCTTTTATACATTAGAAAGTGTTCACGTATTTAAAGGTTAGTGTTACAGAAGTAGGTTTAGTATTTATTCTGAATTAACTAAACTTGTTAAGAAGTGCTCCTTGGCAGTATTTGTTGTAGTGGTACACTGTTATTTATATGTTTAAAGGAATCAAGTTCTGCCTTTGGAAAGTAACTGTTCTCTGCTGCTGCTATCAGTCAGGTCTCCTGTGTGTGACAGCCACAGCCACAGACAGCAGTTAGCTAATCACTCCTCCCTCCCTCCCTCCCTCCCTCCCTCCCTCCCTCCATTCATCCTTTTTCTCCTGATTGAAGCCAATGGCATGGTATCCTCAGATCTCCCCTCTCCAGAACAATGACCATTCTCAGCTGGGCTATCTTATTTGATGGACACAGCTGACTACAAGCAGAGAAAGGGGAGGAAGTTAAGAATGGAGGGAGTGAACAACAAAACCAACATAAGAACACCCCATTCCATACACGGAGTGGTTGGAGTTTGGGGAAACAGGACGGATACTGTAGTGTTTAGTATGGGTAAACCGCATGGTTTAGGGGCTTCTGCTTGATACTTCCCTGACTTAGCTGTTGGGTAATCAGTTCTAAAAACCTCCCCGTCACATGGTAAGAACTGTGTCTCCTACTTGATACACCACTTTAGAAAGCTTGCCAACATGTGTATATAAAATAACATTTATGTGAGTGGGAAATAGAAAAGGAAAATCAATTGAGATGTAAGTACATTCCTGTTGGAAGAGAGTATGCTGAAAGCATATAGTATTGATGTTTGTTACAGGGTGAAAAGGAAACCCATTATCATAACTGATTTCCCAAGAGTGAAAGTAGAAAACGGTTGTAAAGATTTTAGAGTAACAAGTTAATAGGACTCACATAATAATGTATTGTTTGCTTATGTAACTTTAAAACATTAAATTTGAAATGATAGAGAAAAACAGTGCTTGTTCAATAAAATTGTACCAGAATAGCTGTTGTGGATAGCAGTGGTGATGCCATAGGGGAATGGATCATCTGTGCAGAGACAGCCATGGCAGTGGCAAAGCCAAAGAGTCTCAACCTGTGCAGTTAGGATGCTATCTGGTCCATAGGTTAGTTATAATTCCTTCTCTTAAGACTGTTTTATGACTGATGTTTGTTTACTGTCCTCTGAATGGTAGATGTAAGTACTTTAATTTGTATCATAGAAACATCAGTTTAAACTAATTTATAGGTACTGATTTTTAATTTCCTCAACATTTTGTCTTCCTAACCTTTCTATCTTGTAAATACCAACAGAAGAACCTGGTGGGTTAGCCAAGAGGAAAACTAAGGCTAAAGGTATTATTTTCTGTTTTTTCAACCAGCCGCTAGTGAATCAACTTCATGCTTGATGGAAATGCAGCCACAGTTAATAATATCGCTTTTTGATTTGGGCGTTCTGTGTTATGAACAGCTTTTTGAAGACTAAATTGAAGACTTTTGCTTTCTCTAGCTAGCCAGCAATTGTAATTAATTTCCTTTTCATGTTATCAGATCTTTCTAATAGCTTGTAGATTAAGAGTTTATCAAAATAGCTGACTACATTTGTTGGAATGCGCCTATTAAATTTATATATGCAGATTTTACCTTGCTTCCTAAATCTTTCATGGTCTGAATTTTTGAAATTAATGTACAATTATGAATCCATCAGCGATTGATTTAATTTCTTCGTAGGCTACAAGGATACTGTCCTAAAACACAATAAAAGATAGTGTGATCTAATACTAAAAGTTAGGTTTATAACATAGAGCACTGAGTTACTGGTGTAGAATTTGCTGTGTTTGGTATTCTAATGCATTAAAATTGCTATCTTTGTGTACTATTGTATGTAGACTAACACTGCATCATTACTGCCTGTGTATCCTCACTTGTAAACCATGATGTTCTTTAAGAAGAAAGGGCATGGAAGACATGCATGGTTTTTTTTTTTTTTTAATATTTGGACAGTTTCTGCGTGCAATGCTTGGCATACTTGTAAACTTTTGGCATGTTTAAGTCATTGATATATAAGACTTTTGCTATGGGATATGCAGGATTTTAAATTTACGTTTTCAAATGAGGATGAGGATGAGAAATTTTAGCTTTTAGCCCGTATCTCACCAAAATAACTCCCAAGAAGAAAATAATTTTTATCATTTTATTCTCATGTAAGCAATGTTAAACTAAATTGCCAGTAAATTATAATTTTACCTCTCCTGATCTCTCAAGACAATTTAAGCATTAAAGGTTTAATTTTTAAAAAGTGCACTACAGAGTAAGGCCTGATAGCAGTGTGTGGGCCTTTTCTGAAGCCTGTGAAGTGAGATGCAGACGGCCAGGTGGTCTGTATGAATTTCAAGCTGTATCTTTACAGAGTCAATGAAATTTTTGTTAATGGAAACTCCAGATAGACTGTCTTTTGTGAGCACCACACATCCAGAGTTCACCTTGAATGCCTTTCGTATTATATGAATTTTAGATAAATTTGTTAGGGCAGATATCTTTCACATTTTAATATTTAGACCTTTCATTTTATTTGTGACTGCTTAAATGCTGCGTATATGGCAAGAACCTCGTATAATTTCCTGATGAAAGCAGGCATTGAAATGTGAACTTTCGTAACTGCTCAGTTAAACTTTAAAAAGTATTGTGAAAGCAGTTTTTTTTTTTTTTTTTTT